ACGGGACAAAACATGTGGCACCCCTCGATCTTCTCCGGGCCCTCGCAGAGAGGGTGAGCGGCTTCGACGCGCGCGCTGCCAGAGCAAACAGTCTCGACCCGGCAGGCCTGCAAAGCGAGCGGTGCGGAGGAGCCCCCTCGTGCGTCTCCTCCTCCTCCTCTCCATCCCTTGAGTCCTTCCCATCGCTCCCACCCCACCCCTCCATCCCCGTCCGCCCTTCCCGGGGCAGCCGGAGCGGCTCTACACCGTCGCCCCCAACATAGCGTCCGTCTCCGTGAGGATCTCGTTCTGGTTAGAATCCAGTCCGAAGAACTTGACCTTGAGCCCGTCCACGGGGTGCACCACGGGCACCAGGGTGATTTTGGGGAAAGTCCTGGTGGCGAGCTCGAAGCGGCTGGTGCTGGCCAGCTCGATGGCCAGCGCCTTGAGGAAGAGCTTGGCCAGGTGCTTCCCCAGACAGGTCCGTACTCCTCCTCCGAAGGGGAGGTAATGGAACCTGCCGTCCTTGTCCTCGCTGCGGCCCTGCCCGAAGCGCTCGGGGTCGAAGACGTCCACGTCCTTGAAGACGGGCGCCGTGTCGTGGGTGTCCCGGATGCTGTACATGACGCTCCAGCCCTTGGGAATCTGAAAACCCTGTGCAGAAAAGGGAAGGGGGTGGAGAGAAAACACAAACGGATCAACCACGCTGCAGGGAGACTTGGGAGGAGACCAGGAGAAGGAGATAGAGCGAAGGCAGATGCTTTTTCTCCTTTTCTTTGGGGTCACTCCTCGTGCAGATTTCGGAGAAGAACAGAGAGTTGTTCAGGGCTTGGGTGATGAGGAACGGGGCCAGTTTATCATTCTGTGAGCACTTCAAAAGGTTCCCAAGTCAAACCATCACATTAATAGAATTTACAGCAACAGACAGGTCTCAAGGTTTGTTTTTGCTGGTAGGACATGCCCTCCATGGCAGGAACAACCTGCCTGTCAACCATCTGACAGGCAGCAGGCGCCCTTCGCAGTCAACCTTTTCCAGAACTTCTCTTGTCCTCCCTAAGATCTAATTGCACGTGTCTCAGCAGTGAGTATGGAGTCAGATCTTYCCCATCTCCCTCGTTTCCTTCAGCTCTCCTGCATGTGGGTGAGTTTCTTGGCTATGTTAAGAGTCTCTTGGCCTTTTTCTCCAAGGAGGGTCTCTCCTCTCTCTCCACCCACTAAAATATACAAGATCATGATATTATTGAGACCCCTGACCCATCTGTCAAAGCTAAGCAATGGAATCATACAATCATTATGGTTGGAAAAGACCTTTAAGACCATCAAGTCCAACCAAATGGGTTCAGACATCACCGGGAGGACAGACATTGCGAGAGGGCTGGAGACTGAGACATTAAAAGGAGCAGCCAATGATGCAGGAGAAATGTTGGGGCCGAGGATCAGCGAGTACTTACATCCAGCTCAAAGGTCTGCAGCACTGTCCGGTACCCGCCGGAGATGGGAGTGAAGAGGCGAAGCACCTCCTTGATGACACAGTCCAGGTAGAAGAGGCCGTTGATGTTGTCCAGCCGCAGGGAGCCCTCACAGATGCAGCCGTTGTGGAGGATGCCCTTGCTCCGCAGCTCCTCCCGCAGCTTCTCCAGAACCCGCGGGTGCTTGAGGAGCTGCATGATCAGAGAGGTGCTGGCGCTGGCGGTGGTGGCGTAGGCAGCAAAGATGAGCTCCAGGGTGCCGTCCTGCAAGGCACAAAGGGGGAGATGGGGTGAGGAAGGAGGTGCACGTGGCAGGTTTCTCCTTCCTCACAAAGGACAGTGACAGATGGGCATGTTCTCCTGGGACTGAGACGTGGCTGCTCCTGCCAGGTGGGACAGCAAAATCACCCAGGGCAGTCCTGGCCATGCAGCATCCCAGTCCTGGGGAGTTCTCTAGCATTTCCCTGCCTTTTCTGCAGAAGGAAAAAARGGAACGCTCTGTGGTCTATGTGTCTTCTCCCACAAGCCTGGACATCTCACCTACACAGGAGCTTTTTTCCTATTACAGTGAGACAAATCATCTCACTCTGCTATGGTGAAAGCCCAAGCAAGCTAAGGGATAAGGCAGCCCAAGGGTCTACCATGTCCTTTTAGCCACGTTTCCCACCAGAACCACTCTGCCAGCCCTGGAGCTGTGGTTCGCATTGGATCCCACCAGGATGCAGAAGGCACAAGAGAGCCGTGCAGTGGTGGTGACCCACCATTTCCAGCCCAAGCAGATCTGAACCAGTGGGCAAGGCACAGAGGATTGTTCTCATGGGCCAATGCTTGGGTCTAGAAGCTGAGCTGATCACCACAGAGATTTCACACCTCCTTTCCCCAACGCACAGCTCTCCAGCCCCAGACCTCCATCTTTGCAATATCCCTTCTTGTCTCTCTTCTCAAAGGTTGTCTTGTGTGAAAGGCTGGACAACCAGCTACCGGGAAAAACCCATAGAGCCTTGCTCAGAGTTAACATCATGCTTGTGGAGAGCTGCAGAAGCAGGAGAAAAGTCTCAGTGAACAGCTCTTAATAGTGCATGAGGGACAAGCTGTGTGGCTGTCCCACTACAGATAACCACCTGCTGAGGGATCATACAGCCTTTAGCAAAGGTTGAAAGCGATCAGCAAGTAAACATGGCCCTTTGGATAACTGGCTTGATGGCACCATGGGCCTGCATGAGGATTTACCTGCAGCTCCAGCAATGCACCCTGGTCACTCCATGTTGAGTGACTGCCTAGGATTGACCCACAACTTCCTCCCTACGCCGTTTTGAGCTTCCCTCTTTGAGGAGCCTCTGTCCCAAGCCGAACGATGGGCTGGCAGCAACAACATGGCCATGGGGAGGAGGACACGGGTACCCAGTAACTCTTTCAGGTGACTACAGAGCCTGAGAAKATCCCCGAGCCAGAGGGAAGATGGGGAGGATCTTTACCTTCAGCTCCTGCATGGTGAGCTCCTTGCCGTGCTCTTTGCCGCTTTCTATGAGGATATCCAGAGCATCAGCATAATCCTTGCCTTGCGTGTTCTGCAGTTTCTCCTGGATGGCTTTCTCCAGGCCCTTCTGCAGTGTCTCACGTGCTCGGATCCCCTGTGGAGCAAGAAGCCATCAGACCACTCAGGGCATGGCAGCACAATCTGTCCTGGGCCAGCCAGGAACTATCGGTGTGCAGAGACAAGGTCAGGAGGACGTGACCCAGGAGCATGACGGRGATGGTGGGAAGCTGGAGGTGACCCCAACGCAAGACCCCTTTGAGGTCAGAAGGACGTAAGCCTCTCACGGCAACCTGTTTAGCCCACCAACCTGCTCCCAGCTGCAATTAGAGACGCTCAAAGAGAAGGATAAAAATGCTGGAGTCGTCGCCTGCCCAGGAGGAGCAGGCCCAAAGCAGGCAAGATTACAGGAGAGGCTAATCAGCACCTACGTGCCAACGACAGGTCTGACGTGGGAGCCTCCGTATTGCACCGATTCACATGCCTCCCCCTTGCCTGGGGAGTCAAGAAAGTCCCTGGGAAAATTCTCTCTCAAAGGAAGCCAGTCAACTGGTCTGAAAGGAGTCTCTTCCCAAGAGCGTAATGGGCTTGCCAAGCGATTTTATCACCCGCTCTCACTAAAGCCGCTGCTCTTTGAGCAGAGCTGCACCGAGCTAACGTCCTGCTGCAAAGGCTCTAAAAAGTCACATCGGGGGCATTCGTGCCGTTAAAGAACAACACTGAGATGTGCAGGAGCAGCCACAAAAATCATTTGAAAAAAAAAAATGTCATTTTTCTACATGCATTTTTGTCTCAAAACTCAGGATGAAAAAAAAACAACTTTATACAATGCTCTTTYCTTATGTTTCCATTTCGCATTTCATGCGAAAACTAGAAGAAATTGCTCTGGATGTCTTGACATGATTGCATGCCTCACATCATAGTGAAAAAACTTTGTCCCATCTGATCTGAACTCCTTCCCTTATTAGCAACCTCAGATTTAGAGTCTCAGCCCTTCCTAGTCAAGTGTCTTGACTCTACTAACGCAGAGCTTTGGAGCCCAACGTGAACCCTATTCCAGAACTCAACTAGTGAGGAGACATCCCAACACCACCACAAAGACAAGGTTCAGCCACCAACCCATTCGCCCCAGATCAGTGTTTCCAGCTCTTAGTGTCTTACCCTCCTGTAGCCACTGAAGGGCAGATCCACGGGCAAGGAGAAGACGTTCTCCACGAACTGCTGGTAGACCTCAAAGAGCCGGTTGAGCTCCTCATCAGGGATGCGGAAACCCAGCAGGACGCGGATGGCCATGCGGAAGGTGAGCTTCTGGGCCTCGTGGTAGACGTTGATGGACTCCGGGTTGCTGCTCCAGGCCCGCAAAGTGTCTTTGATCACCAGCTGAATCTTGGGGAGATAGCTCTCCAGGGCCTCGTGGCTGAAAATCTTGGAGAACACCTGCAAAAGAGCACAGGGACAGGTTTCTACATAGTTTGTACACCCTCCTTTTTGCCTTCTTTAATAACTCACTTCTGCTYATACATAGGGATATCAAGGGCCTCCTGAGCTAAGCACTACTCCTTGTCAGGAGTTGCTGAGGTCTAAAATAACAACCCCAAAGGCCTGGTAGAGAAATATCCATTGAGATAGCCTCCATAGGCCAATCCCCATCACAACCATCACAAGCACCTGGCAAGAACAAGGTACCCCATGAGACACGCTCCACCAAGGAACCAGAGACGAGGAGAAAACGAGTCATCCTGCACCCAACAGAATGGGCAAGAGCTGCCTTTCCCACAGCTGGATCCCTTGGTGTCCAGCAAGGTGGGAGCTCACAGTCAAACTCAATCCACAACTCCAGTGCTGGTAATACAGGTTGCCCATGTGGATTCTCTAGTGTCTATTATTACGGCTSTGTTCACGCAGGCAAGCTTTTATTTTCTCAACGGGGAACACTAACAATTTTGTCATCCCCCTCCTTTAATAAATATATCAAAAAGCATTAAAATAATCATTCTGAGGCCCTTAGGGTCCCCATGAAGTCTGGCCGAGCTTAGGGTAGGAGTTCAAGTGTTCCTGGGGGAAAAAAAAACACAGAGGCTGAGCTCACACATGGTTCATTTCCTCGGGACGCCCGGCTCAAACCCTGTGTCAGCAGACAGCAGTAATTGAGGCTCTGGGAGTAAACACCGTGCCGAGGAGCGCAGCAATGCCAGGAATGTCCCCGCTTGCCCAGGACGAGGATTTCACGCCGCGTCCCCCCTTCCTGTCCCCGCCGCGTCCCTGCGCCAGCCCTGGGTCCGCGGGCGCTGCGCTGGGGAGCCGGGGGCAGCCGGGGGGAGCCAGGGGGAGCGCTGCTTGTTTADCCGGCATTAACCTCGGCGCGGCCGGGGGCACGCGCTCCGGCTCGCCGGGAATACCCCATGGAAGCGGCTCGCCCGGAGGGACACACGGCTGCAGAGGACGCGCCGAGCTGGCCGCGACGGAAAGCGAGCAAGCAAAAAGTGCCGCTCTTTGCTAAAGTGCCTAAAACCTGCAAATGGGGCTTTTTCTTTTCCCCATGCAGGGCAGCACTCGTTTTCCCAGTGTTTTCCCGGCATTGCTCATGCCTGCTGCTCTCTACGGGGTGGTTTAATGAGCCCAAGGCGAGGGCTCAGCAAGAGCCGGAATTCCCTGCGTGGCCGGTGCCAGGGCAGGTGAATGAACGAGCAGGAAAAATGAATGAAYGAATGAATGAATGAATGGGTGGGTGGGAAAAATGAATGGGCACCAGAAGTACGGGACAAGTGGACCCATTCCGCCCGCTCTCTGCTGCCGCTCTCTCTCTATTTTCAAACCGTGACCGAGCTGCCATCCAACACATGAAATGGGGTGGGAAAAAGGAAGAAAAAGCTCAAATTAAAGCACTAAATTGGGCAAAGGGGCTTTCAGTGCCACCAGGAAGGGCAGAATGAGTGCTTGCAGSAGCCAGGAAAGGGGCTGTTTTCCCAGGGGCCACACAGCTCCGAGCTGCTCCATGGATAGCAAAGGGATGGAGTGTTGAAATCTCCATCCTCCTGGCACCCGCGCTCCCAGACTCCCACCCAGGCCAGATTCCGGAAGGCAGGAGCAGGTCCCTGGCTGCCAGTGCAAAAAGCGGGGAGCATTCTCCTTTTTGAGGGTGGAAGGGCAGGTTTGGGCCRCTTTCTTTTTTTTTTTTTCCTTCCTTTTTTTGCTCTTTTCCGCCCGGCAAGGCTCGCGGCTCCCCGGGACGCCACCCCGGCRCGCCGCCCGTGCGCTGCGCGCCGCCTAATCCCACATGTCAGCGGGCCCTTCCCTCGCCAGACACAAGTCTGGATCCCCTTCCAGTCACCTCCAGTTCAACCCTGCATCTTTCCAGTTGATTAAAAGGGAGGCAAAGGCGGCCAACTTTCCCTCGCAAGCCTGCCGCTGCTTCCTAGCATAAAATCCCTGCGCCCTCTAGTGAAACCGAGTCGAATGTCCCGACCGCTTCCCAGCTCCCGAGCAGGAAGGCTGGACCAAGCTGAGGTGCATGGAAGTGAAGCAGGGCTCCATGGAAAGCTCCACAATCCACCGGGAGAGAAGGTCACCGAGCCTTCCCTCATCCATCTCTGCTTCTCATGGGATATTTCAGAATTTACAGGCTTCCTAAGGTAGAAGACGCTTTGCTGGTGACTCAGCTTGCTAGATGCTCCAAAGAGGTCTGGATTCACATGACAAGGGCAGTCCCTGGTCCTGCTTGAACCTCCAGCCCTATCCATAGCTGTTCTGCACACTGATGCCCAAAGCTTCCCTTTGGGATGGGACACCRGCAGCCTCATCCAACATACAGACCTCCGTGCTACCTCCCCTTTCCCACCTRGAGCTGCTGGCCCTGAAAATGAGAAGCCTTTGTCATGCTAACATAAAATCACAGAGCTCTTGCGGTCGGAAGGAAGCTCTGGACATCACATAGTCCCATCTCCTGCTCAAGCAGGGGCAGCTAGATCAACTAGCCCAAGAATASCACCTGGAAAACACTTCCATAAACCACTTGGGCACCAACACTTGACTTAGCTGGTGCTACAAGAGGAGTCCAAAGAATCCTCTCAGCCTTGCAGACACTCTATGTGTTTTGGGTGGCATTTGCCCCAGACCTGCCCTGTTGCTCTCTTACAGWAGAGGTCTGCCTCTACCTGCAGCATCGGACACTGCCAGGCCTGGACCTCAATGTGATGCTCTAGTGGTCTCAGAAACYTCGATGTTTGCAAGGTCCCACACGCAGGGCATTCCTCCACCACGGCAGGAACTTAGGTCTATTTAAAAGGAAGAGTTTTTAGAGAGTTTTCTCTCTAAAATGAGCGGTTTGGGTTTTGCACAGCCCTGTTGCGGGAAGGATCCCATCGGAAGGGCCCAGTGAGGAGCGCGGGGCCTCCAGAAGAGCAGGACGCAGCTGCCTCTCCCAAGGAGAAGGGCAAGAGCCCGGC